CATGAGACAAACTCCATTCACCCTGGATGGCTGGGAACAGACCTGCTAGCCACGTCGGTGGGACCCATCTGTGCGTGTGCGAGAGGACAGCCCGCTAATCTCTGTGCAGCTGCAGGCTGGATGGGGACAACCAGGAGATCACTGTGGCACTACAGACAGCTGTGACCGGAGCAGCCCTTCAGCGCCAATCTGGGGGCACATTTCAATACAGGTTCATGTTCAGATCGGCTGTTCAACAAAACAGTCAAAAACTACCAGACAGCGACTGGTACAAATTAGTGCCGTGCATCACATTAATTTACTTAAGGTGTATTTTAGGGCAGATACTATGGTTATTCTCTGTGTCACCATCCTAAGACCACATTATCTACAAAATCATCAAATTCCCAGCAGAGGGTGGTGTAGGTTGACCACAAAGAAACATTCTCTCCAATTATTCCATTATAGACACGTTTGGAAATCGTGAACCAAACAAGGAATAACCTTCCTACTCTAGCATGGGGATGTCTCTTGGCAAGGACCATCTAGTCGATTAAACTTCCAGGCCACAAAACAGACAGAGACAAATGCAAACTTTGAAGCGGTCGAGTTAGAGGGGCCGCTGTGGTCTCCCAACACACACAGACCACCACCCCAGGGGCACAGGGACACCAGCTACCTCCCCCAGCTTTGGGCTTTCAAAACCCCCACCTTCAAGAGGTCGACCCGGTATAGCTGGCTGAAATCTCCACAACAAGATTAGAATGGGTGGGGGCGCCTTCAGTATTCAATTACCCAGTTCAGTGTTCAGCTGTGCGTATTTGACTTTTTCCATGGTTAAGTTAAAGTTATTGTGAATTTCACAGTCCTGAATCTTTGGGCACTTTTCCACTGCACCAGGTACTGTAATTTTGGTACAGTACTCTAGGTACTTCCCCTTTTCCATTGACTTCCAGTTGAGTACCAGTATGAAAATGTCCAGTACCCAAAGCACCAGACCAGCTGGGGTATTTTTTTGGTACTTTGATACTTTGGGGTGGGACTTGCAAACATGTTCATTGTCAACTGATCATGCAAACAGCCTGCCTCTGAAACACAATACAACCAGCATCTTGAAAGAAATGACAAACTCAGAAAACAACAAAAAAAAAAAACTTAAACTAATAATAATGTATGCATGAGCGCTCGACTTGCCAGCTAAACCCCTTCACACTGGCTGCAATAGCAGGGAAAGTGATGAGCTAGGAAAGGGTGAACAAGTGTCACCGTGCCGTCACAAAGTTTTTTTTTTTTATTTGTCAAAGGCTTGAGCCTTTTTTCAACAATACAACAACCACATTTCCGGTAGGTTGGGTTTAAAAAAGTAGTTTTCAAAAGCATCCATGCCTTTTTTCCCCTAAAGAGTTATTTCACAGTATTTTTTCCAAATTGTTTTAAGACAGTTAAAGAAAAGGTTCATTATAATATAACATGCAGTGATGGAACAGCAGACAGATTCAGACGTGGTGGTCACAGGTGTGTGGCTGCTGGTCTTACTGCACTGAAGTCACTGACCTGTTGGCAGTGTTCTGTTAGGGATTATAGATAAAAAAGCAGTTGCACTGACACTGAAAACCTGTGTACGTGTACTTGTTTCCTCATAGAAAATTAGATCAAAAACCAATAAGGTAATCGATAAAGAACTGGATCGATAAGCAAAATCGATAATGTCACTGGTGTCAATAAAATCATACCAATTCCCATCCCTAGTTATGATGTCATTCAGTGCTGGTACCAGTTTTTAAGCCAGTGGAAAACCAACACCTTGAAGTACCAAAAAGTCCGGTAATGTTTGTATTGTTCTGTTTTTGGTAACATAAAATTCTATGTACTGATGTGACCCAGAGCCTAACTCCTTGTTGCTTCAGTCTGGATTGTACTGAAGTATTCATTTTAATCTTATGCCAATGTGAAATGGTCCTTAACGCTCAGTTACCCTTCGATCCACATCTACATAGATGGACTAGTCCAGCGTACCCATGAGACAGAGCCCTTCTGGCCTCTGAGGAGCTGCTGTATCTATAGCTGGAATCAGTCCTGCGCTATGGGCAGCAGCTGCCACACGCGTCTATCTCAGCGCTGACCTGGCTGACAGCATCACACCGTCGTTTCAAAACACCACCTCAGTGCGATTGGGTGAGGAGCTTAACTAACAGCGTCCATTACACTGACATATTTTGCCGTATTATACAAGCGATAAGTAACATATGCGCCCACTCGTGAGAAATATCGCGCTTTAATCCCATGCTTGGTGTTTCCGCTTTTAATAATCAACAGTGCTTTCAGGGTTATCGAGCATCATGCACCACAGCAAACCAGATGTCACACCCTTAAAAACGTGAAAGAGAAAAATATATATAAATACATAAAGAACATATAATAATGTGTGACCACGTACATTAAGTGGCCATAGTAGATGGGGTGGTTGGCATTGATCTGAATTGTTTATTACTGGTTTAAAATGGAAATTGTGATTAATTTTTCCTGAGAAATTTTTAATCTCTGAATATTGTATACTACTTGTCAATTTAAGATTGCACACATTAAGCAATAATATGCTCCTCCATTCACATGCCAATCATTCACCCAGTACACAGTGTCGCGTTAGCCTGGAGCCTAGGCACAGGGCCAAATCAGAGCTTTTTTTAATCATTAATTTCATGTTCCATGAAAGCTAATAAACTTTACTTTTTTACAACACACACTTTACTAACAGATTATCCTTTCCCTTTTCTGAAAATACATACAGCTGTCAACAGAACCAGTGCATTTTTCAACTTAAATATTTATTATTAATTCGAAGAAAAAGTAGCGTGCAAAAATCTGCTCATCTCCATAGATTAGAACATAAAACGTTTTTTTAATGATTACACAAGCCAGTAAACAGACATCTTTTAGAAGGGGTACGGATGCACTCTGAACAGTTTAGAGATGTCAGTTGACTTTGCTGCATGTCAGTGGACTTCAATAAGAAGCCCATGCAATCAGAGGAGCATGCAAACTCCATGCCCACAGATGGGATTCAAACCCAAATACTGGGGCTACAAGCACTACAGTGCTTCCCCCAGAGTCACCATGCCAGCCAAGATACATGTTTTGCATTATTATTTTCATTCAGAATCAATTTTTCATGCAGAAATTTACTTTAAGCTTGTGTCGATATAGTCACACCAATCACCAGGATCGCATTTACTTTGGTCTAAGAATAGTCGCTTTAATAATGTGGCCAAAACTTCTCAGCATTCCGTTAAACGAATCATTTTAAGCTGGGCAATGAGTCCACCTGGCTCTTCGGGAATGAGGACTGTGGATAAGTAAATATTCAGTCACCGATTAAACGCAGTGACGGATTCCTCACCGATCGCCAGGATCTGATATTGGTCAGTTTTACATTTTTAAAAACATGAAGAGAACTCTTTCCTGTGGCAGCGGTTACATTTAAGTGGCAAATAACATTCCATGTGTTTAAAAAGAAAAAATCCGCTGGTTGGTGGAAGTCTGCCTAGTCACGCAGGAGTTTTTAAAATTAATCCTCTGTTACTATGCATTCACTGTAGATGGAAAACATTCAAGCCTGACCTCTTAATCTGCAATTACAATCTGTTTAAATGTTTCTTAATCAAGCTGCAAAACAAACAGAACAAATTTAGATGCAATTTTTCAAGACGACTGGACCTCACAGTGGATAACAAGACACATTATAAGATTAAGAAACTGAAAGAACAGTTTTATTACCTTATAATATATATTTTTACACTATATACACTTCCCCGCCAAAAAAAGAAGCTGCCATTTGAATTTTTCATTGGACTTGAATTCATCGCCTTTAGCTTTGATTACGGTGCATATTTGTCACAAAACGCATGGTTTCCACAGGCTTATGCAGCATCTCACCCGTTATTTTCCTTTATTTTTTATTTTCATCATTTATTTTCTCACTGAGATCTTGTATTGACAAGTGAGTTGAACTACTCCATAAATCCTCCTTCATCCCAAAGAGGTTAAGGTCACAACTCTGTGGAGACCAAGTCATATGTGAAAATGATTCCTCATGCTCCCTGAACCACTCTGAGTGTATCGACATATATACTTATATTCAATTCATTTTTTAACTTGTATACCACTTTCACTTAAAGTAAAAAGATCTGTTAGGGTGAAGCTGAAAAATGCATTCAGCCTACAGTAAATCCTACATTGCATATCAAAGCAGACGTCCTGTGGTCCTTTCATTCGATTTCTGCTTTTCGCATCAGTCTCGACGGTGAGCTGGCGCGCCCTATGGGAACTTCCACAGACTCACCGGTCACCGAGACACTATGCATCTGAATTGCCCAATCGCGCGTGAGGAAGTGCAGACACGCCTCCTAAGATTAGCCAGACAGCAGCCAAGAACAAAAAAGAAAAAAAAAACCTCAGACAGAAGCACATCAGCCAATCGGATGGGACCTGGGACGACAGCCAGAGGGGCCACCGGCCCTCCCAGACGCACTTCCCCTTGGCGCGCCTTGGGCCGCACACCCAGGGACCTTGCCACCTTTTCAGCTGCCCACCCTGCCCCGGTGAAGCCGCCCTTTCGTGAGCATGGAGGTGTTTGGCCCCGTCTGACGGGAAGGAAGTGTCTATTAACGAGGGGGGGGGGCGGTAATCCTATCAGACCTCAGGCATGCCTGCCCACACACCTTCACTCAGACAGACACTCTGTGCGCTTAATTATGGCGGGCGAGGTGCAGACCTGGGCGCTGATGGAGAGGGGACCGCCTTGGGCCAGGAAATTAAGGCGCTGAATCTGCACAGGGATGTATTTAGCTTCTATTTAGAAACAGCACGATGCGGTGTGTCTGCCTGTCCAGAACGATGTCCTAGGCTCACCCTCCATCTGCTGGGTATTTCGGCTGATGCGGTCTCTCCAAGGTACAACAGCAGGGTCCTTGGTGAACCAACGGCCACTCGGAAGGAGGGGGCCCCAGCCAGGGCCCTCTTACCCGCAGCTCGGCGTAGCGTCGCTCATGAGACTCGGCTTCTGTGCGTCTCTCCGACTTGAACCGTTCCTCCATCTCGGCCTGCGTGCTCAACAGCTCCTCCAGGTCCTGCGGACGGGAGCGGACATGTCATCGCTAACGTGTTACAAGGGACCGTGCCTGAAAGACCACACTTACACCTGCGCAGTTCAAATCTAAACACAGCTTGGGTTCTACAATTATTTAGCTTCAGTGTGCAGGTTCACACTCTACTTGGGATAAAATTATACAGACTGATGGCAACAGTTTAACATCAACAGGGCAGTGATTTAATCCCATGTAGCATGTTAACGATGCAGCCCGTTAACTTTTGCCTTTCACTTGGGTGACTTCAAGTCAAGCTATACATGAGGTCAAGGATAATCTAGTTAATGTGCAGAATTGCTAGCTTGCAATTTTGCTATACGACTTAATGCCAAAGTGCATATAACATAACAGCAATAGTCATAATACAAGGATATTATCTTTTGAATGCATGAGCTTAGTCCTATTCTCAACATAATCCTATTCTCAACAGATACAAGGGCCAAATGGAGCTGACCTGCTGTATGCGAACCTTCTCCTCTTCGCTGACCATCAGCTTGGTCTTCAGGCTGGACAGAGCCTGCTGCATCTGGCCATGGGTTTCCAAGCCTCCTGGGATATCGGGGGCGTCTCTGGACTCAGCACCCTGGTCCTGAGCCGAGGCATCGTCGCTGGAGCAAGTCTGTGCACACTACAAGCACAAAGGCCCCGGAATGACATCATCGTAAAAAGCGGGTGCTGGGCATTACAATGAGGCGTGTCTGCATGGGTGCAACATTCACGGGCCGGGCACGGCGGCCCACCTGGTCTGGGGGACTGCAAGGAGGTGGTGTAGGTTCCTGGGAGTCCGCCTGGAATGAAGGGTGTTGGTCCAGAAGGATGTCCGGAGGAGCACTCAGGCCTGGAACTGAACCCGCGACACATGTTTATTTAGGAACCGGACCGGAACCGGTCATCACCATCACGGAGGAGTTCCTCCAGAGCATTTCAAACTCTGAAACTGTGAGGAACCAAAGCAGGATTGGGGATAAGGGGAGTAGGTGATGTGGTGACAGAATGTACAGGGGAAAGCAAAATCTGGGCAGCTGCGACAGACACCCTTGCCAGAGCAGACCTGGGAATACTGCCCCCCACCCCCACACACAGAAGCTGACGGCCAGCGGCCGGGAGGAAGGCAGAGCACATCGTTAACGTTAGGAGTATATTCCGTTTTAACTGCGGCAGCACTTGGCTTGGCAGTGCGGGCTGCCGAGAGTGATGATTTACAGAGCGAGGACTCAGCAGGGGCTGCGAACACCCCTTCCCCTAAACCCGAATGGGCCCCTCCCTTGGCGTTAGAAGAGGTGGGTGACACTAAAGGGACGGCTGTCTGGCAGATGCCGAGACGAGGAGACGTCGAGGGCCAGGCAGCCATCTGAGACTGATTACCCTGCAACCGCTAAACACATCCACTCGTAAAAGTGTAAAAGTAAAAGTGTATCGAGTCAGAACACTTAAAAGAAAAATCAAACATGTAATATGGATCAGATTTAATCTACACATTGCTCTCAGCACACAGTGTCCCTTGCACTTTGCAGACATTTGCACGTTGTACTCTTACGTTAATTTATTCAAGACGTCTTTGCACTGTTTCCTGTAAATTCATCATATCGATTGTTCTGTTCTTTAGTTCTGTGTATATTCTGCTGAGAAGCATTTCTCCTATGTGTCCTGTAATACTGTTCTGTATTTCATGTTTGGCGTTTTATGTTTGTCCTGTATTTCATGTTTGGTAATGGGCAAGTAATACTCTGTACTGGGTTATAACTAACTGGGGACTAGCTTAGGGTGTTTCGCCAATGCACCAGGAACTGTACTTTCGGTACATTCGCTTTTCCTCTGACTTCTAGTCAAGTACCAGCACCAGAAGTTCCAGTACCTAAAGTACCAAGCTAGCTGGGGTACTTTTTACGTACTTCAGTACGGACTTGCAAACACTCTCTTGTAGATTGGATATGAAACACAACATAACCGCTGTCTTAAAATTACAAACACAGAAAACAACAATAAAGTTTAAAAAAAAGTAGTTAATAATGAATGCATGGAAAAATCAAAAGATTCAAGGTTTAATTGCAGTCTGGTTGGAAGAACAAATACAAGATCAGGATGGCATGAAAAGAAAGAAAAGTATTTTGTATAAAATATTCATGCCGTTCGATTTGGGAAAATTTCCAAATAATAATAAATATTTGGGTATTTATAAAGTAAAAAAGGAGTTCAGCATAAATTTCTCACAATCCTGTCTGAGTGATTTAAATAGCAAGGATGAAAATGATTATGATTGTCTCAGAGAACGCATGTAGCGCTCATGCAACAGCGGCGGAGGCAAGATAAAGCCTGACCTAGCGATGTAAGAATTACACATGCATAACATGCAATGTTGGTATTAATATCACACCTTGTCCAGGCCTGTAATATACTACAGGCATTTTCTTTACTTCAGTACAAAATACCCTGCCTCGTGCTAGGATGTCATTCAGCAGTGGTACCAGTTCTTACTCAAGTTAAAAACCAATAACTTGAAGTACCGTACTTTTGGTACTTTCTGGAAGAATAAATGTTCAGGACGTGTGAAAACTACCTATTTTCTGTCAAAATATCCATTCACTAAAAATGCTGAAATTGCCCACCATGAAGGTATTGAATGTGGCTAGAGGTGACCTTGGCGTTACTGACCAGGTGCAGGTCACAGGCTATGTTCGGTCACAACAGCTCTGTTAGGGTGAAATGGATGACCAAGCTGAAGTTCTTCTGCTCTAGACATGAGCAGTCAGAGCTTCAAGCGTCCATCAATCTGACTGAAAAGAATCTGTGTTTAAACACTAACGTAACTTGCCAAATATTTACTTCATTCTTTGGCCCTTTTTCAAGTTGTGAATTCTTAAAGTTGCGGCCAAAAACATTTATTCTTAAATATTATCACTGAAGCGAGCTAGCGGGAGCTGGCAGTCATTTTAACTACACAGGAAAGAGGTCACATTTTGCACACTTGGGCACAGAGGAAACAAAAATATAAGATGGCCTGTCTATTCCTCCGATGCTTCTGTAGCTGACATCCTGACTTCTAGAGCAAACGAACACCAGGCTTTTCATTTGGGTGACAGGAGAACTCAGGCACAAAATATTCATCCCTGGAGATCCCACCGCCTCGCTCTGCCTGTACAGAGAGTCTGTTACCCTCAAGAGGTCCCCACAACCACAGCCATCTACAGGAAATTTGGCCTGGTTGGCAAATTAGAGGCCAGGGGTCTCATTTGTCAAAGTTGCACACCCACAAAAAGACGTCCGAAATGTGAGCACACAACTGTTTAGGCAAAATCTCAGATTTATTAAACAAAATGTGAGGAGAAAAGTTGTGTATATTAATGGAGCAGGTGTACACAACATTCTGGACAAATCGTGAAAAGGTGACACCCTGCATAAATCAGGGAACTGCACGTAAACCAACGAAATGACCATGCACATCCCGATGATTCACACTATCAACACACGCCTTCACACGACAAACAGTAAATATAAAAATGTTACCCGAGATTTATTGATTTTAGGGTAGTTCGTGTATTTGGAGAATTTAATTCGCTGTTCCAAATACTACATCTTGCCACCTCTTCCTGTAAATTAAGAATATCTGTAATTGTCACTAGCAGCACTAAATGTGAATTAGATGTCCAACATTCACATGCAAGAATTACCTATAATCACGAGAATGTACTACAGCTTAGTAGCGTTTTGCTGGCGACTATGTAAACAGAAGGATTAGAAGATTATTTTTTACTTATTTGGTTTCTGATTGCACTGTTATGTCTTTGCACTTTGTATTTTTTGTTATTTTGCCCGAGATGACAAGTTGCTTAAGAGTTGATTCAGATTTCCATTCCTTGACGATTAGGACTTGACGTGAGCCCAGCAACAGGGAGATCAATAACTCGAACTGCTGGTGCTATATCTGTACACACAGAGTATACAACAAAACTGAGTACAGCCCTGGCACTAAAATGATAAGAAAATAGAAATCATGTGCAATTAATACTAATTAATACTAATTATTACTAATTTGTAGCCAAAGCCCAGCAGGAATGAAACCAATTAATTTGAAAAGCAAATATATCTGAATAATCTAACCTAATTTTCCTTATTTAAGAACCAGCAACAATAAAAGTCAGTACACCCTAAATCAGTGACATTCCATTTTCTTATTTTAAAATATTTTGTATGTTCGCCTTTATTTTTGATAACTGATTTGATCCTGCTGGGCATGGACAATACTATTCCTGCACAATACCGTGAAGGGGGTAGTCTGACATTCTTTGCAGATGATTCTGTTCAGCTGCTCTTTACTGGAATAATACCCCAAAGCTGTTCCAATGAATTCAACTCATCCATGATGCTGTCATAACACTGACAAATACAGTAGCTAGAAAGCCTGGGTCAACTCATGACCTATTCATTTTGAATCTCACATACCACATCAGTATCTCCTGACTGCTCTGTCACTACACCACACAATAAGGCATCCCCTATTATAGATATTATAGATATATACTATAGCCATACACACACTGAAGTTTGAGTGTGAAGATTGTGGGTCTGCCCCCAACGATTACAGTCACACTGACCTTGTAAGAAGCAAGCCGTTTCTCCCCCTTCATCTACAGATCCGACCACTTCTTAATATACATGAATTTTGGGTGTACTGCATTTTGAAAAGTTGATGGAATACATTATTTTAGATTCCACTTTATCATCATTGAACAAAGTTCAAGTAATCGGACAAAGAAATATAGCATGGCATCTAATCCAAAAGTGTAAAATAGTGCAAGAAAGCTAGAAACAGATGTACAATATACAGGGGCGCCGTAAGGGGGAGGAAAGCTAGGACGATTCCAAGGGCCCCTGAGTGACAGGGGCCCTAAAAAATTAGGAAAATAACTGGATTGGTTTGGACTGGGGGGCCTAATATGATATGCTTTCATGGGGCCCAAAATCTCTAGCGGCGCCCCTGACAATATACACACGTGCGGTAAATACATCATTGAAAAAATGTACGCCTATTTGGTGTGGAAATTATTGGCCCCAAAGCGATTCAATTGTATTATGGTTATTGAACAGACAATTCGAAAATCAGCTATAATATACATTACTTAGGCTTGCATGCTGTAAATACAGTATGCAAACCTACATTATCATTATTTATTCTGGATAAAGAAAAGGTCTAAAGAAAATTCCATATCTGGAATTTAATTTCCATATCTGGATGATTTTCATCAAAATTATCCGCTTCTACCAGAGCATGTGAGCGGAGCGGAGCGGTGAGAATTTCCGCTCCTCGCTCACGAGG